CAGAAGTTAACTAAACCGCATATGCCTTTAAAAACAAACTGCAGTATTTTTTTTTAATAGAAAAAAACTGCTGTAATTTTTGTAAGGCAAGTTGTTCCACTAATGTTGGAGATTTGATTGCTCTGAGATCATGATCAAGAAGAAATTTACTTTTACTAGAAGGTTCTTGCATGATAAACCTGCTTAATTTAGAATAGTTATAAAAACAAATTGGGCTGTACTTTATTTTTCAACCAGTTTCCTATTGTATCAGTATGGATGAAAATAATTGTTGTCTTTTTACTGGGAAAACTGCATGTCTGTCCAAAATTATAATCTAGCCTAGAAAGAAAGAGTGTCCTATGTTAATCTGTACCGTTGTTTAAAATCAAGAGTTCAGATGCAAAAACCTCTTAAGTGCCATCTGAAATTTTATTTTAAAATTATTAATTTTCTCAGGCTTTTGTGAGTAGTTTTGGTATTCTCACTTGTATGGCAAAGTAGGTTATTGGTTCTTCCTTTGAAGTGAGCAAACAGAACATAAACATAGTAGACAAAAAAAATGCAAATTTTAAGAAAAAAAATTCAGATGATGCTTAGAATTTTTTGCATCTGAACCCAAATAGCACACAAAAACTTTATCATTGTTATGGTGGACACGTATTTTGCTTTGCTAAAGCATAAGGACCCACATCATTTATAGTGGTATTTTTAATTTTTATATATATATATATATATTTTTTTTTTTTTTTTTTTTTTTAAAGTGTTAACTATTTCTCACACTTTCAGACTGCAGCACCACAGGAGCCTCCATCATTCGGCGGTAGCTGCATGGGCCACAGAAACCGATGTCTTCCTTCATCTCTATTAGTCATGTGTCCCATTTCATGATTATCTTATGAAAAGCAGCAACTCCCCATAAGCATCGCCGCCGCCAGCCTGCGCAACACGTCTAAAACACCCAACAGATGGTCATTACACAAACAGGCTAATTTATCTCAAAGCCAGCAGTGGGGAACAAACAAAAGTATTTTACTTAATGTAGCAGCTTGACGTTGACTTGCAGCTGAGCTTTCAAACCGGCTCAAATGAAAGATGTCTTGTTTCCATTAATTCTCCAGCAGAGAAAACTCTTGTTTGTGAAATTGAAGTCAGATGATAGCACTGATCATTTATCAAAAGCCAAATGGCCTGTTTCATCGCCGGAAACTAGTTAAAGCTATACTGCCTTTTATTTCTTGCATTATTATTATAAGTTTTTGCAATACAAGTAAATAAAAAATATCACCATGCTGTCCACATGCTTGAAAACTTAACCTTTATTAAACCTGTATTTGATTAATCGTATAGCCCAATAATAATAATAATAATAATAATAATAATAATAATAATAATAATAATAATAATAATAACAAACTTAAGCTGTTTACTAACAATACTTCCAGCTGTCAATCCAAACCAGTTGTATGTGCTGCCACCGCGTGGTTATAAAACCAAAGTGCAGATTAAAGCCTTTGATGCGAGATGAAAAATAGCATAGTATAAAATATCTACAATCATTAAATAAAAAAGCAATAATAAGATAAAATAAAACTAATTAAACATTAGAAATATTATTAAAAGGTTATTTAGCAAGGGAAGAAATGTATTTTAATCTATGATTATTCATGTTCTATAAATTCTAGACACAACCTTATTTAGTACAAAGTATTACACAGACTGCACTATTCTAAAACAAAGCTTAGTAAATTCTATCCGTCAATTTCCCCCACATGCGACAAGTGTAAAGCTGCTCAGGGTACCTTAGCACATCTTTTTTGGTCTTGTGTTTAAGTTCAAATTTTAATTTTTTTTTTTTTTTTGTAAGAAACATTTCAGTTCTTCGCGGTTTAGGATTGTGTTTTACTCTTTGACTCAATGATAGCTATTTTTGGCTGGTCAGTTTTTTTGGTGACTCTCCACCAAAATGTACAGTTACCTGTTCAGTATGGCATGATCATATAGCAAAAAAAAAAAAAAAAAAAAAGAAAAAAAGAAAAGAAAATGTTTCTGGAAGAAAAATGTTAGACTTCTTTATTTCTAACTGGCTTCTTGGACTCACCTCCACTTTACATTTGGAAATAATTAGATATTCTGAACTCTGCAAAATTTGATAAGATGTGGGATCTTGTCTTTTTTTCCCCCTAAAACACCATAAAAACCTAGAATGTTGTTTAATTTTTGAAGATTTGTAAGGTTTTGACATTGCTGTGTCTTTTTGTAGGTCATACAGTTGAAGTCAGAATTATTCACCCCCCTGAATTATAAGCCCCCTGTTTAATTTCCCCCCCATTTTTTGTTTAATGGAGAGAGGATTTTTCAACACATTTCTAAACATAGTTTTAATAACTCATTTCTAATAACTGATTTATGTTTGTCTTTTTCATCATGACAGTAAATAATATCAAGACACTTCTAAGCACTTCTAAAGTGACATTTAAAAGCTTAACTAAAGTAGGTTAATTAGGTTAACTAGGCAGGTTAGGGTAATTAGGCAAGTTATTGTTTAATGATGGTTTGTTCTGTAGACTATCGAAAAAAATATGTATCTTAAAGGGGCTAATAATTTTAACCTTAAAATGGTGTTTTAAACATAAAAAAACAGTTTTTTTTTCTAGCCAAGACAAAACAAATCAGACTTTCTCCTGAAGAAAAAATATTATCAGGCAAACTGTAAAAATTATCTTGCTCTGTTAAACATCATTTGAGAAATATTTTAAAAAGTTAAAAACAATTGGAAAGTTTAATGTTCTGACTTTAACTGTTTGTCTTGCATGTCGCCATTTTCCCTTGTTTCTAATTGTTTCCCTTGTTATGCTTTATTTCAAATTTTGCAAAAATTATTGTTGTCATGATGGGTTTGTCTGTTCTTTGTTTTATATGTCTGCAAAAACTACAAAAAACTACTACACACACACACACACACACACACACACACACACACACACACACACACACACATATATATATATATATATATATATATATATATATATATATATATATATATATATATATATATACACACACACACACACACATACACACACACACACACACACACACAAGCCAAGGATAAAAAAAGTGCTGGTAGCTGTTACATTATATGAATCTCAAATGTATGGCTTGAGTAAATTAAACAAATTAATAATTGTTTAAATATTTATAATATATTATAAATATATAGATTTTTAATTTTACATTATTATTATTATTATTACATTTTAGTAGAAACCTAAACGTTTTTTTTTTATTTTTGATGAATAGACAATTCAAAAGACATTTCATAATATAATAAATTCCTTTAATATCATCTGATCAAGTTATTGATTCCTTGTTGAACATTATTTTCATGAAAACACCATAAAGCATAGCCATAAAACCTAAAACTTTGAAAAATGACTTATAACTATATATATATAGTTTATATGTTTTGAGGCACTAAACGTGTAAAAGAATATGTCAAAAGAATTATGGCAGAATTATTGTCAGAATTATTAGATACCTAATCACTTAAGACATAACAATAATGTCAAATTCAAACTAAGTAATACAAAAACAATCTAATTTTGACTTATTTTTGTCAAGATAATGATTTAATATACATTATTAATCAAATAAGTTAGATGATTGTTTAATTTGCATTTATAGACTAATATAAATTATAAACACATTAAACTTTATTATAATCATCAATAATAATACTAATACTAATACTAATAATAATAATAATAATAATAATAATAATAATAATAATAATAATAATAATAATAATAATAATTTCATTTTATTGCTGCTGTTTTTCTTTTTGTGGAAATTGATTTCTATTGAAAAACAGCCCAACAACATTATTTTAAACCTACAGTAAGATTCATTTTTACTATATATTATTTGCTCATGAATCAATCTTTGCAATAATGTTAATTTGAGTTCAGGTTGTATACTTTATCACTATATTATTATAAGTAATGCATTATTACTTTTGCCTAAATATTGTTCAGTGTCATTTTGTTACAGGGATTTTGATTTTAGAATTTATAAAAAAAATAAACAACTCAACCTAGGATCTTTATAGAAGTTTGCTAAATTAATAGAATATGTTTTAAACACTCCATGAGGACGCAAAGGAATCACTGCTTGCTTAAAAATAATTTAATTCTTCATTTTAAGCTGTTAGCTGACAATAATAGTGTTGTTTTAAAATGTCTAAAAAATAATTCAAACAGATTTAAGAAATCAGTTTTTACTTTTCTGTTTCATTGATTGTATTTAATAAGCAATAAAATTATTGTGGGCCAGTTTGCAATAGCAATACTTCACTATTTTGAGCAAGGTAGGGCCTCAAAAGGATTCTCTTATAGGGTCCCCAAATGTACAGGGCCGGTGTTCTGACGATCTGTGCTACCTTATCAGAATGTGCAATATGTCATATTTCATCTAAAAAAAAAAAAAACAGGGTTAGCACGTCAGCTTCAAATGTCTATCAGAATGAACTTAAAGAAGGGTGAAAAACAGGGATAACACATTTTGTCAGCTTCAAAAGTCAATCGGAATGAACTATACCACTCTAATAAACAAATAAAATATAAAACTAATGAAAAAAAAATAAGACAGTTTATTCTAATAGACATTTGAAGCTGCTACACCTTTTTCTACATTGTTCAATAAAGTAGTTAATTTCGAAAGATATTTGAAGCTGATAATATGTGCTACCCCTGTTTTACATCCTTATTTAATGTGGTAGATAGATCCTTCTGATAGACATTTGAAGCTATTTTGGTATATAAGACATGACAGATTAAGCTACCGGTAACATATTCTAAGCAGGTAGCACAGATCGTCAACACCCGGCCTGCTTGAGGCTTATACACGTATATGCAAGCTGTAACCCCTTTGCATTCACTGTAACGGCCTCTAGTGGCTAATTGCTGTAAAAGAAAACGCTAATTTCGTAGAAGTGACGCGGGTGAAGTTTGTCTCTTGCGAGGCACCATCCTCGATACCCTTTCCCCTTTCCCTCTCTCGTTGCAAGATTTCCTTATAACTCGTAATGTTTTTACATTTTAAATTCAGTGCCTTTAAGTCGCTTTTTCCTTAGTTTTCTTAGTTACGTTATATTCCGCGTCTAAGTGGCATGATGTTCACGTCCACCGGTTCGTGGGGATTATGTAAGTACAGTTCAAAACCCATCATGTCAAGAAGATCAGATCAGATCAGATCCGTCTGTCTGTCAGTCATTCAGTTTTAAGCTCAGTCATCATGAACCTTCATCCGATTATTATTGCACTTCACAAATGATCCTGGCTATCACGTCAGTTTGATTTGGCTTATGAATTTAGACAGGAAGTGTTAGGAGAGAAATCAGCTTCTTCTGGGAAATTGCGACGCCACAATGTATCTCATTATAACCTATTTAATTTTAAGAGATTGACAAAAAGACAGAACTCTGCTTAAAACCACTGTGATGACCACATTTCAAATAAACACCATTAAAAAACTGGTACTGCATATTGCTTATTTATGTAACTTTTGAAACACCATTTACTTTTCCTTATGCTGTTTAAATCCGTTATGTTACTATATATATATATATATATATATATATATATATATATATATATATATATATATATATATATATAATTTTAAGTGATGCTCTGGGACTCTTTGAAAGTTAACTGTTCATTTACAAGTTCCTTCTTTAGTAAAACATTGCTGTTTGAAAGTTAATAAACGTATTGAAGTCACATAGATTTTTATTTTATGCTATGTTGTTTCAAAAATAATATTGTTATGGTTTTATAGTTTTACCAGTTTATAACTAAATTTGTAGGTTTCAAAGTTACATTCACTGCAACATAGATCTGGGGATCTCATAGGGCCATGTGAGAATTTTAGGAGTCCTTGGGAGTTTTTGGAGAAAAACTGTTGAAAACAATCTATGTTTTATTTAACAAAATGAAAATGTGATTGAAATAATTAATTAAATCTTTTATTTAAGATAAATAATTAAACATGTTTACGGTGGCTGAGAGTTTGACATGCTGCAGTTTAAGAAAACGCATGCAATTTAGGGCTCCACGATTAATTGAACTAAGATCACAATCTTGATTCGACCCTACACATCTTATTTCAGCTTTTCTATGATTCCATCAATTATATTTTCAAGGTCAGAAGAGAAGCAAGGCAGTCGCACAAGTCTTCACAGCAACTTTGACACCTTCAAATGGCGTTAAAAGTGTAACATACTGTATTTATAAGGTATAATTCACCCAAAAATGTCATTTCTGTTTTCATGAATATGACGTATTCGTGGCCGCAAAATCACATGTGAGCTGACCGCGAGCTGTTTGTTTACTACCGAGAACGCGCACGTGCATGCATGACGGCTACTTTAGTGAACACAACCTGCATAGGCTGTGAATAACAGGTAATGAAGTTGTAAATAACGATCAGTTGCACAGAGTGATCGTTTGAGAGCCGTGCGGGAGGCTTGATTTGCATGTATGTATTTTTTTCTCACAGTGATAGCCCCAAAAAAGTGAAACCTGTGCGCACATCATTTAAATGAGCATATGGCATTTTACAGTTATGATTATGACTAACATTTAATGTTTTTTCTTACATAGCGAACACATAGTGTTGTGCAGGAATATGATAATGACAAAATTCAAATTTTACCAGTGAAAACAAATGGTCTAATAATGTTGTCAGTAACAGATGACAAGCACATCTTAAACATAATAAATCAACTTAATAATTATGAATAGTTATATTCTGATGTTATCATTTTACAAAATTAATTTTAAGCAACAGTAGACCTATATATAGGCCTAAATGCTGATTTATACTTCTGCGTCAAATGCCGGCGTATGCTACGGCACTGACACATAGCCCTTCGCCGTGGCCGTCGGCGTCACTGACGTGCACCTGTCAAAAAATGTAACTACACGTCGCAAAAACGCGTAGCGCAAGCTCTGTGATTGGCCACCTTGGTAGCGCTGACGAGTCTGGGTGGGACCGAGAGCCGCGCGAATGGTGCGAGCGATTGTTTACAAGTGTGGAGTCCCGTGAAGGAGCTCCGGATGGAAAGTTTTGTTTTGTGTTTACCTCATAGTTAAAGTTGTTGCATGTCTGCCAGTTCCTGCCTCAAAATGAGCGAGTTTGAGCCACTTGTCCATCCCGGAAGTGTTCAGGAAAAGCAAAAAAGCAGCGAAGAAACTCGACACAGAGGACCATTTACACCTCACTGCCAACTAGCGTTTCGGAAGTGTTAATGCATTGCAGACCAACAGAGACAGTGCGCAGAAGTATAAATGCACAGCCACGTGCGTTGCATGCGCCCTGGGTTACGCCGTCACTTGACGCAGAAGTATAAATCAGGCTTAATATTATTGTTGTTGTTTTACCATATGTTTGAGAATTAACAACAATAATAGTCTTATCATATTAACCTTTATTTTACATTTACAGAATCGTGAAAAATCATGATCTTAATTTTAAGCAAAAAAAATCATGATTCACATTTTTGCTAGAATTGTGCAGCCCTAATGCAATTGCAAAAATGCCATCAAATTGAGAAAACATCTTCATCTATTTGACAGCAAACATGCTGCAAATTGTCACAACACAAACACATTTTTAAAGAAGGAGCTGCATTTTTACACAATGCAAACAATTTTCAAAAAAACACGCTGCATTTTCACACAACGCAAACAATTTACAAAAAAGTATGGCATTTTTAAACAATGCAAAAAATTTACAAAAAAAGCACTGCATTTTCACACAACGCAAACAATTTACAAAAACCCACTGCATTTTCAAACAACACAAACAATCTACGAAAACATGCTGCTTTTTCACACAACACAAACAATTTTCAAAAACGTGCTGCATTTACACATAATGCATACAATTTACGAAAACATGCTGCATTTTCACACAACGCAAACAATTTACAAAAATGCACTGCATTTTCACACAACACAAACAATTTACGAAAACACGCTGCATTTTCACACAGCGCAAAAAATTTACAAAAACATGCTGCATTTACACATAATGCATACAATTTATGAAAACATGCTGCATTTTCACTCAACGCAAACAATTTACAAAAACACGGTGCATTTTCACACAACGCAAACAAATTACAAAAACACGATGCATTTTCACACAACGCAAACGATTTACAAAACTGCACTGCATTTTCACACAAAACAAACAATTTACGAAAACACGCTGCATTTTCACATAATGCAAACAATTTACAAAAAAGCACTGCATTTTTACACAATGCAAACAATTCACAAAAAAGCACTGCATTTCACACAACGCAAACAATTTACGAAAACGCACTGCATTTTCACACATACCCAAACAATTTATGAAAACACGCTGCATTTTCAAACAACACAAACAATTTACGAAAACACGCTGCATTTTCACACAACGCAAACAATTTACGAAAACACACTGAATTTTCACACAACACAAACAATTTACGAAAACGCACTGCATTTTCACACAGCACAAACAATTTATTAAAAATGCTGCATTTTCACACGGCGCAAACAATTTACAAAAATGTGCTGCATTTACACACAATGCAAACAATTTACGAAAACATGCTGCATTTTCACACAATGCAAGCAATTTACAAAAACAAGCTGTATTTTCACACAATGCAAACAATTTACAAATACATGCTGCATTTTTACACAACGCAAACAATTTACAAAATAGCACTGCATTTTTACACAACGCAAACAATTTTACGAAAACACGCTGCATTTTCACACAACGCAAACAATTTACGAAAATTACAATTTACGATTTTTTTTTACACATTTTTGGGTCCACTCGAAATATTTCTGTTATGTTTTGATGTTTTTGCAAATGTTGTAAAAAAATGCAGGCGTTTTTGTAAATAATTTATTACAAGGTATTTGTAGTGTAATATACAACACCAACTCAGACAATATATCACTTCAATATCATATATCGCTAAAAATATTAATACAAGTCACTTTTTGCAACCTTTCAAGGTTAAAAGTTGTTGGAAGGAATTCAGTATTGCAATATAAAAGCATAAAAAATTGTTGAAAAATAAAAACGTGTCACAAAATATGGAAAACTGCAAATTTACGGATATTATTTTACAATGTATATAATAATCTAGTTATATATAATGATCTAATACTCAAAATCATTAAATATAAGATAGGATAATTTGATAATTAAAATAAATGAATCAATCGATTAAATACATTTTTAAAAAATCATACATTTAGTGCAAATGGTAATTTACAGAATACTTAGTTTGATCGAGATTTATTAATTTTCCTTCGACTTAGTGCTTTTTTTGTCAGGGGTCTTCACAGCAGTATGATCCGCCAACTATTCCGGCATATGTTTTTTGTTGTGGATGCCCTTCCAACCACAACCCAGTACTGGGAAACACCCATACATTTTCACATTTACACGCACGTACAAACTACAGCCAGATTAGTTTATCCAATTCACAATACTGCATGTCTGCGGTTTGGACTGTTGGGGAAGCCGGAGCACCTCAAGGAAACCCACACAACACGGGGGGAACATGCAAACTCCACACACAGCTGGGACTCAAACCAGTGACCTTCTTGCTGTGAAGTGACAGTGCTAATCACTGCTAACCAACAGATTTTGCTTTGCTCTCATTTATAATCTACAGGTTTCACTGTATAAATTGGGTCTTTTTACATTATTCTAAAGATTCCCTGCATTTAATATGATCATAGCTGATTGCATGAGGATGATCATATAGCCATTCAAAAGACTGAAAACCCCTGACATTAACTAGTGTGTCTGACAGATTCACCTAAAGATCCAATATGTCCTCCAGTTAGAATATGTACTTTAATTTTTTATGTCAACAAAAGATCTAATGATGTAATTTTATTTCTGTGTTGTACAGATAAAGCACCCCTGTCGAAGAGCTTACTTCTGCTTCCTACAGTCCTCACTGTGCTGCTGACTGTGCTTCTGCCTCAGTACCAGGATCTGTTCATATACAACATCCAGGCCATCAGGCAGGGCAAGCAGGTGAGATATACAATCAAAAACCAAACTTATTCATACACCTTCAACATTTCCCACATTATCAGAGTTAATTTATTAAAATTGGTAATGGTAGTAGAATAGAAACTGATTTTTTTTTTGCGTATAATATATGTCAAATAGCACCAATTCTAGTATTAATTAGTGGCTTATTACCTGCCTATAGTTTAAGTACACATGAAATCAAAACTAACCATATTGATTTTGTTAGCTCACACTGCTAGTTTTGTGGTGAACAATTCATCTGCATGTCATTAAGAAAAAAAATGTTTGTCCTTGTTTGTAATCTTTGTTTAAAATCTTAAAAATCACTTCCTGTATTACGTCTGTCTGAGGTATTGGGTGTAGTTAACACATTTAACCACATCCCTCCAACTGTCTGTTTTGACAGCGTTGTGATAACAAACAGAAATGGCGAGGATGCGTCTGTTAGGTTCTCATAACTGTCTTCAAACCCTTTTCCTGATCTTTCTGAATGAAATGCCTATTTACTACATCCAATCAGCTTGCAATAGGAAAAGCATGCCACACCTACTGTTTTCTCATTTAATATTCAGTTTCTCTAGGAACTGCGTGACAATATGGAAAATAATGTTTGCTTCATGCAGATAAGATGAAGATATTAGCTGTTAATTAGTATTAGTATTAAGTACATATTCTGCATGGTCTTATTCTACATTTCTGATCCGAAATCCAACTGCTGTCTAATAAATATTAAGAAGCAGCAAATTAGAAGTCTATTGAGTTAAAAGTCATAGTTATAAGTTTGTTAAAGGGGTGGTCCACTATGATATCATATTTTAAACTTTAGTTGATGTGTAATGTAGCTGTGTGAACATAAACAACATCTCTGAATGTAAAAAGTTCTAAGTTCAATGCAAAGGGAGACCTTGGGTTTTACAGAGTTAGCTTAGCAAAGCCTACAATGAACGAATTTTGGGGACTACAAAAAATACTTCCGCCCCCTGTGAGATCACAAACGTTCATTACTGCGCATCCAAACTGAGCAGGTAAGGGCCGTGGCCAGAGGCGCTGTAACGTTATAGCAGAGATGAAGCTAAAAATGCATCTAAACACGGCTGTTTCCACAGAGCTTCGTCTGTTTCTGTATTTGGGCTTCCAAAGGACGCGACACAAAGATAGAAGTGCTTACAGTTCAATATTATGTTCCAGAGAATTATAAAATACATAGCAAGCATGATTTGACAAAACAGCTCCAGAATCTCTCCCAGTTCAGTGCTGGATTCGGCTAAAATCTCAAACCAGAAGCTGTGAACTACAACCAGTAAGTGCTTTTATTTGTTAAAATTGATCATGACATGTACAGTGTCTAGCGTTAACGGTATGCTGTAGCAACGATGTAAACAATGCGAAATGCTGCTTTGCGAGCAAATGATTTAGCTAGAAATTCATATTTATCAGTCAAACTGCTGTAAACACACACACACACACACACACACACACACACACACACACACACACACACACACACACACAACCACACAACCACGCAACCATGCGCGTGACCGCATTGATTGTCTTCAGGCAGCTTTTCTATGCGTTTCACATCTCAGATAATGAAGTTGCAAAATATATGTGGATGATTCATATTACTTACACCTGCATATTCTGGATACACGTGAAAGACGTTGTGTAACGCATAGAGTTAAAAAAAATACAGGTTAGCTTACCTGACTCATGGTAGCAGCGGAATAATAAATCAAGGCTCACACAGGTAGCATCCCACATCTTGTGCTTTATTCCTCTGTCACGATATTACAGAAAATAACTTAATCCGAGCATCAGAGAAAAAGAAAGTCCTGCGCACTTGCGCTTTTTACAGAAAGTTCACACATTCACACACACACACACACACACACATAGACGCAGACAACATTCACACCACACACACACATAGACGCACACGCAAACGCTCTTAAAGGAGCCGCACGCCATTTTCACTCGTTACAGACACTTGTCAGATTTTATTTTAGAGCAGGCAGGAGGTTGACTGATTGTTTACACAGCAGAAAAGAGCGTGCTTTTACGAGCGTGACGTGGAGCCGATCCGCGAATAGCAGCACATTATGACGATGATCAATCAGAGTCACTTAAGCCGAGTAGCTGTGTATAATCAAAGTGAGATATGTGAAAAAATAACGCGATTTCCTTCAAGTGAAACATGAGCACACATTGCTTCACATTGCTTTGCAACATTCTGGACCACCCCTTTAATAGTGAGAATTGTACCTTTAAATAAAGTGTGACCATTTACTTTGTTTTGCTGTACTTACTTACATAAATGAACTTTAGTGTCCTGCATCCACTAGTAAAGATATATTTATGTTATATAATTTACTTGAACAATTGGTGATTTCCAAAAATCTAAATAATTTTATTAAACCATTAAAATGTACATAATTTATCCATAACCTACTGAAGATAAGAATAATAGTTTCTGTTTACAGCATTTACAGTGCCTTTACAGATTGCATGCAAGGTTTCTATATTTATAACCACCACAGAGGATATTGGGGGTTGCAAGTCACTGGGATTGTTATATTGGGGTTTGCAGGCTGAAAAGTTTGGGAACCCCTGCGCTATATTAAATGTGCAATTTTAAACTATTTATATTGTTCCTTAATGTTTGCCTTGTTATTATTATTATTCTTAGCAAGTTTCTTAATCCGTATTTAAAAATAAATTCTTAAAAATAAGTTCTTAAAGTATAAAATTTTAGTCAATAATGGGTCAGAATAAGTAAATAAAATGGAAGAATTGTCCTAGTCCTAATTAATTGTTTAGAAATATATGATAATAATTTTTGACCAAAGCAAAAGTTCATTACGTATAACTTTTTTGTCTATCAGTCTCTTTTGAATTTCAAACCAGTGATGTGAATATTTGCCATTTATAAACTTATTTAGGTTTCTTCCTTCCTTGAATGTCATAGATTAGAGAAAGTCAGTGCATGAAGTGATATTTTGAGCACTGCGTTGCAGAACATTACATTATTTACAAATGACTGTGTGAAGACATTATATATGGGGACTTGCATGGATGCCTGATAATAAATGATTTCATCAGCAAATTTATAGAATAACAAATGTTGAATAACTGCGTAGTATACCCTGCTATAATTTAAAATATCATTTAAAATGTTTGCAGTCATTAATCAAATGTAATCCTGCATGAGCATCAAGTTGTAATGAAATGCGAATTGTTGTAAACTTGTCTCAGATTTGGTGTCAATAATAATGTAGCATAATACCACATTATATGATTGCAATGTAACATATAACATTGGATTTTAAAAGCATTTAGCAACTTTGCATTAGTATAATTAGTAAACGGGAATAACAGATAAATAATTCGTAATGCATTTGATTTTTTTCTGATTGTATAATCGTCTTCCAGCTATTGTGCCAACTTCCAGAAATAATGGAAATATTGCTTGCTCTTAAAATGAGTTTTTGTTTAAATTAGGGCTTTATTAAATAATAATTGTAATGCTTTATGTGTATAAATATTTATGACTGATAGCACATTTCAAAATATTCATAAACATTAATAAAAAGTCAGTTTGTGTGTTTGTGTTTCCATGGTTTTTATAGTTCTGGAGGCTGGTGAGTGGACGACTTTTCTGTCTGGACCTGAAAGACACTTTCTGCAGCAGTCTGCTTATTTACAATTTCCGCATATTTGAGAGAAGGTTTGGCAGCCACAAATTTGCTGTAAGTATTGGGTGTCAATGGTGGCTTTTTGTGTGCGTCTGCCTGTTTTTTTTTTTTTTTTAATATGAAAAGTTTGGAAAGTGCCATGTTCTATTTAGAAAGTTTCAAAATGGTTTGTGTATTTTGTAAAACATGAAAATACACATGAAAATAATAAAAAAGTGTTCATTGTTAGTCATTGTTTCCTCACTAATCCTAAAGCTTTGTATTTTTTATAATAGATCATTTTATTATCCACAGGGTCTTAAAACTTCTTTAAATGTTTTTAATTAAAAAAATAATAATAATCTATTGCAATATTGTGTTGTAAGTCTTAAATCATTTTAAACAGGTCACAATTTCCCTATGTCCATTTAAAACTATACCAATTGGACCGAAATGCATTCAATGACCAACAATCCCTCTAAAAAAAACAAATGTTACATTTTCAACTCCATTTACCAACATGATGTAATTCTCTTCCTTACATTAATATTTAATAAACTATCTCAATGTATTTTGGACAGACTGTTGTGCATAAATTTAGTGTGTTATACTTTTTAAAATGTGTCAGTTTTTTAAAAGTAGCATTATGTTAAAAAAAGGTGCATGTTTACAACTAGAGTTGCACATTGTTTAAAATGAGCTAAGAAATAACTAAATACATTTTTTTGATAAGGCAAGTAAAATCTTTTTATTGGCCCAACTGTGTCATTTGAAAAGTCCTGTATGAGCCTGAAATTTTATTTATAATGGTCTTAAAACTATGAAATTGTTTTGAGTGTTAAATAAAATGCCTGATTTCCACTGAGTACTACGGTTGAGTACAGTATGAATTGGTTTGGGACACCCTCATCAGGCTTGCAAGAAAGTTGTGTTTGATGTTGATCTTGGGTAAAGACGAAGGTCATACACATATCACAGATCACATCTTTTGTGCAGATCATCATTTCAAATGTAGAATAGAGAGGAAGCTAGAAAGCTCAAAAACATGCAAATTTTAACATGTTGAAAATGTGTTGTTTTCACAAATAGATTATTTATTGTTTACACTTGAAAAAGTCAACCAAATAATTTATGCATAAACTATGTACAAACAACATGTATTTAACATTTATGCTACGCATAAACAAAAAGCATTTAGCAGTGAGTCTATCTCTTTTTTTGTATGTGTGTACCATGCGTATTGCGTATCATACTGTATTGAACTAAGCTGTAAAACTCAGTGGAAACAAGCCATTACAGTAACATTTGTAGTATTTTTTCTTAATTCATGTGTAAATACATAACTAATGGGACTTTATTGTAAAGTATGACTAACAAAGTATATACACATGCAGACACACATATATCATTTAAATGCACACAAAAACAATAGCTTCATAATACTACGCACACACATACCAGATCAAGATAAGGTGCATAAAGGTCAAATGACACCGGCATTTTATCTAGTAATCAGTTCACATCAGTTTTTGGACACGTAATCAAAGCATACTGCTCTTTTCATCAGCCTTCCATTTAGAATGTATTTTATTTAAAATGTATAAACATTAAAATTAGATTTTTTATTCTTTTTTTTAAAGTGTGTTCTTTGGAATGAAACCAAAAGCTATCTCACATGTCACCGAACGTTTCATTTCACGTGCTTATTTACTGTAGATTCATTCACATGCTGAGGAGTTTAAACCATTTTAATTAGTTTTATTAAAGCTGTTCCCCTAAAGCATTGTCCTGTTTTTGATCATGATGTTTAGTCTTTCCTCTTTGGAGCTTGGGTTCTTTCTGCTTTTGTGGACTTGCTGCTGACAGAAGCTCTTCGCTTCACGTTTGAACTTAAGGTGGATGTTCTTCCAGCTGGATTGTGAGTATAACATGTTTTTGTATCGTTCGCAGCTCTTTGCAAGTTATTAGGTGTTATGAGCAGTATTACCGTGTGAATGCACTGTGTGATGCAATCAGACTGGTTTGCTGCTGATTCCTGAAACACTATCTGTATGTGAAAGCATAGTTCTTGAGTTTCCTGTTGAACAAACATCAACTTCCCTGTTTAAAATTGTAATTTAGATTTGCATAATGTAACTTCTAGTGAAAGTCAAGTATCCTGAATATTCTTACAATATGTTATTGTTTTCTTTGTGCTACTAGCTGTGTGAGGATCCTTTATGTGAGATTGGCATGTAGTGTTTTTATTTTTTATAAAAAGATCTGTAATAGCTGCTGTGCGTCAATCAGTGAAATTCTTACACAGGTCTGAAGAAATCTCCTAAGTATTTCAAGTGTTACTATCGCTCATCTTGACATTTGACACCCTTGTTGATTCATTCACGTTCACTGTTTCACAAGCATCATATTCTTTTGTATTCATTTTTTAATGTATAAATGACATTATATATATTTGAGTTAGCAATAGCTGATTTTCAAGGGATAGTTCATACAAAAATTCTTAGGTGGGATAATGATATAACTACTTACCTAACATTTCATAGTTTCAGAAACAAATAAACAAATAAAACTTGCTACTGATGCCTGTTTCTCAAACTGTCACTTGTACATTGTTTGAGACAAGTTGGTTTTAACTGCTGTTAATGACGTCATACTGGTGGTGGAGGAGTCATTTCTACTAATAAAATGCTATAGAACTTAATATAACTCAAATAACAAGCTTTGCATATTTACTTTCAGTTCATTTCTGTTTCAGTTCTTTGGTTTTTTTATTTAATTATGTGCAATAAAAATGGTCTGTGCATTGAATAAAAGATAAATACTAGCATACTAATATTGCATTCTAGCATACTGCATACTAGCTTGCTCATTTTAATCATATTTGCCGTCTAGTTAAGCCCATACATCATACTAAGAAGAAACTTTGCACCCACTCACACTAGGCTATCTGAACCATGTCTGTGCGTGTTTCCAGGTTCATTTGACAAGTGTGAGGACTCCGAATTGGGCTCAGGCATAGTTTAGTTGGCGATACCTGGCCCGGTTGGAAGAGGTGTGCCAGAGCGCAGTTCGGTTGGTCTTTGGCATGGAATGCTTGTAGTGTGAGTGCGAAGCGCGACTGAGCCCAAAACCAAATACGCCACGTCACTTTTATGGGGCTGTTTCATATAGATTTATTAATCATTCTTATTTTTCAATGAACATGAACTGTCATGGTTTATTAAAGACGCAAATCCCACGCTGCATTTGCGCTTTGGCATGGTTCAAGGCAACTGTACCTTATGTCAGCACGCCCTGTGCCTTTAAACAGGATGAGAGCTAAAGTTATAAACAAACACAACAGACTATGGAAATTGTGTTTTATTTAGGCTAAAACAAAAGTTATTAATTTTTTTGAAAAACATTTAAAGGTCGAAATTATTAGCCCCTTTAAGCTATATATTTTTTCGATAGTCTACAGAACAAACCCACGTTATACAATTACTTGCCTAATTACCCTAACCTGCCTAGTTAACCTAATTAACCCATTAAAGCCTTTAAATGTCACTTTAAGCTGTATAGAAGCGGCTTGAAAAATATCTAGTAAAATATTATTTACTTTCATCAGGGTAAAGATTAAAAAAAAGGTTATTAGAAATGAGTTATTAAAACTATTATATTTAGAAATGTGTTAAAAAATCGTCTCTCGGTTAAATAGAAATTGACGGGGGGCAAATAATTCTGACTTCAACTGTATATCCTTGAAACACATAAAGCAATGTTTTGTAGAATGTTCATAAATGTTGGTGATGTGTATGGATAAAAAACACTGAAACTGGCAAATTATTTTGTAGAATCTTTTTTATGTTCTATACAGTAAAGAAAAGCATACAACTTGTAATTTCTGAGTAAAAAAGTTATTTTGTGAGAATTATTTTTGAGAACATTTCATTTAACATTTTTGTTTAACAGTTACACTTTCATTGAAAAAAGTCAACATTTAGTTCATGTGTCATGTATATTTGATCTCTTTCCTCTTTTTGTGCACAACAGTTGTTAGATGAAGTGTGTGTTGTTTAAATCGAGGAAGGCCAAATTGTCTGGGACTTTTTATTTTTCTTTGACTATTTGTGACTTTTCATTAGCCTTTTCCATGACTTATAACTGACAGTTTTGTTCTCAGATGTTCTGTTCCATCACCTTAAGGCTTGTTTTCTGGAGCTTTAATCCACTTTTGACCACTTCCAGCCTAAAACATGATCTTTTTAGGATGTGTTGTAAGAAAGCACAGCAAAACAAAATGTTCATACATTGTGGTGAACCAAAACATGAATTACGATCCCAATCTTAATTGCCTTCCACATCCTTTCAAATTACTTGCTTTCATTATGCTTGTAAGTCAAAAACATTGGTTTTGTTTGTTCGTTGAGTAGTGAGTAGTGAGTAGCACCGAGTGCTTCTGTCCAACTGATGTAAAGTGTGCATAAAATGAGGCTTATGTTGCGCTTGGTTGATAACAAATCTGCTGATCCTCTCCAACATTGTTCATTATTATCCTATTGTTGCGGCGTGTTCCGAGCACATCACCTGTGCCTGAACTTTCAGCAGAGTTCTTCACACTGGAGAAGTGGGTGCCAACCTGCCACTTCATCATCCTCATTACCTTTTGCTTATAGCCTTTACATGCAAAGAAGTAAACGAAGGGATCCAAGCAGGAATTTAGGTTCATAAGGCACACCGTGATATGTAGAGAGATCTGAAACGACTGCAGTTCCTTGCAGTCCGTTTCATAGAGAAGCTTCCGAATCATGTATTGCAGGATGTCTATGTGATATGGGCTGAAACAAACCACAAACACAAATACCACGCCTGCAATCACTCCTCTGGCTTTTTTGGTCTTTCCGGAACGTTCTGTCAGTTGGTTTGACTTTGCCGCTTGATGTAGTTTGTGAGTCAGGATTGAATAACAAGCGATGATTGTCATCACTGGGATGCCAAAACCTAAAACTACTGCTACGATCAGCATGTAGGGCAGCCCTTTGAAAACACCCTCAAAATTGGGGTATTCCATACAGGTGATGCTGCTGTCAGGCTCGGTTTTAGTAAGGCCGATTGTTAGCAGGGGCAGCGTCTGGGCCAGCACCAGCAGCCATATTGCCAGACACACAAAGCGTACATTTTTTGCCTTTCTCAGTTTTGCCAGTCTAGCAGGAAACACTAGCGCCACAAAACGGTCCACCGCCAGACATGTCATGAAGTTCACACCAGCGTAGCAGTTCAAATAGAAGAGCAGTGCTATGGCTTTACACAGTACTTCTCCCATCGGCCAGTGGAAACCCAATCCATAGTAAACAGCTCGTAGAGGAAGCGACAGGCAGAATAGGATATCAGACACAGCCAGGTTGGCGGAATAAAGCGTGATTGAATTAATTTTGGTGGTGCTGGAGATCACCACATGGAGAGCCAGAGCATTTCCTAAGAGTCCCACTGGACATATGATGGAGTAGACCAGTGGTATGAGAACCCGGGCCACTGGACGATGATCATACAAGTTGCAGTTGGAAGAGAAGTTCAGGTCTAAATCAGGACTCATCATAGTTATAAACAGGAGACCTCACTGCAAAGACAGAGGCAGCAATGTTTGGGGTCAGTATGATTTAAAATACTATATTATGTATTATTATTCTTTTTAAGTTTACCAAGTCTGCATTTATGCATTTTATAAGAAATGTAATGAGTAAATAAAACATTTACAATTAATATTTCAGCATTTAAAAATGCTGTTTTTTTATTGTAAAGATGCCATTCCTCTATTCAGATTCATGATCCTTATTAATAATAATAATAAATACTGACTTTATGCACTGTTTGACAGGGTTTAGAATTTTGCTTAACATTTTAAACCTCAATGCTTTTAAGGAATTTTTGAATGTTATTTTGACATGAAAAATCTTTATTTTTATCTACAAAATCATAAGCACTCGAAATTAATTGAAAATATTTTTAAAAAACTTTTATTAACATGGCTTTTCTATTAACAGAAATCATACAGCACCAACACATTTTGGCAAAACTTGCCTTCACCAGGGTAAAAAAGTTCAGGTGCCTCTGGAGTTCATTTAAACACTGTGATCGCATGACTCAATTGTATATCTAAACAATACGGAAAATGATATATCGAAAGCAAAGTTCAGTAACATTGTCATTGTTAATTCAGTAATGGAAGGAGGGAGAAAGAGGGAAAGAGATTTTTTTTATCCCTCTATGAATCACATTAATTACACCTGAAGCACTTTTCGATTTTTGATTTTATTTTTATCATTATGCAATTTGTCTGTTTTAATTAATTTGATATTTTGATGGTTGTGTTGTGTCTTTCTGAGCCCATGGTATTATAATCTGCACTTGATAGTTTGGTTATTTAGTAAATGTAGGCTGCTGTAGATCTTTTTTTTCTATTCATTTTTTTACTTAAAGCATTTCTCAGCAAGTTTCTGTTGTTTTGTCTGCATTTGTCTGCATCTGATTTGTTTAGTGTGTAAATGAAAAATAAATGACAGTTTTTAAACATTTTGGGATTATTGTTGACATTTGAAAAAAAGAACAAACCTGTATGTTTGAAATATATAATAAACTATATATATATCCAGTAACATTATTCTATAAGACCCAACTAAGGCTTTATTTGGCTATGTTAGTTATTATTAAGATTTAAGTTTCAGCATTTATTAAAACATTATTAAAAGCAAAAATTCTATTCACATTGTTTAAAATTTTAAAAAGAGATGTAAGAAAAGAATAATTAATGCATTACTTATTGTTAAATCTTTTTGTAAAAATTTACCAGATAGACAGAAGGCTGCTTTATACAAATATAGCTGTTTACTGAACCACTTTTATTGTAATATTTAGTTCTACAGTATTTAGTTATGTTTACCATTGTTTTAACACACATTTAACATACATATGTAACATTTAACATACATTTACCAGAATATATATATATATATATATTTTTGTATTTTCACACATTAATTGTATTATTTGATAAAATTATACTCACCAGATGGCATAAAGCAGATTTTCAGTTAGACATCAATGCTATTCTTTCTCGCTATTTTTTAAGTCTCATCTCACTTTTAAAATGTGACTGTGTAACGTGAGAAAGTGGTCTCTTCCTGCCTCTTTTTCCATTTCTGCTGCTCTTTTCGTCACTTTCCTTTTGCTTCTTTCAGTGTTGTGGGGAGGATGTTTAACTCTTTATGGAGAACTGAAATTATCTTGTGGCTTTCACTGAGACATCTAGACTTTTTATTTATTTTAATTTTTTTTTTTACCAAAGAATTCATACAAGGAATCTACGAGTTGTAATGCAAAAATAAGATTTTCTAGTCTTAACTTAAAAGATAGTTTACCAATTTTAAGTTTTTGCACGTTGAAGAAAACTATTGTGAAATCTGCTAACCATTGTTGCTTCATTTTACTAAAATTTGACATGGTCTTGGCTCATCTGCTCAAAACTGCAAAACACAGAGAGCTCGATTTGTCAACAGACAGGATAAGAAGAAACAATGTTTAAGGTAGAAGTAAACCTTACTAATTCATATCAAATTGTCATTTCTATATTTTGTCCCAAAACCCAAAAATCCTTGTAAAATACAGTGCATCCGGAAAGCATTTATAGAGCTTTACCTTTTCCACAATTCTCATGTTACAGCCTTATTCCAAAATGGATTAAACTCATTGATTTCCTCAATTCTACACAAAATACCCCATAACGACAATGTGGAAAAGTTTTTTTAAATAATTGCAAATTTATTAAAAATAAAACCTGAAAAATCACATGTACGTAAGGATTCATATCCTTTGCCTTGAAGCTCTAAATTGAGCTCCGGTACATTCTTTTACACTGATTTGAAAAGGAATATCCCAGGGTTGACTGAATGTCAAAACACAAACCAAGCCTGAAGACAAAGGAATTGTCTGTAGACCTCCAAGACAGGAGGCACAGGGCTGGGGAAGGTTTTAGAAACATTTCTGCTGATTTGAAAGTTCCAATGACCACAGTGGCCTCCATCATCCATAATAGGAAGATGTTTGGAACCACCAGGACTATTCTTAGAACTGGTTGGCCATCTAAGCTAAGTGATCGGTGGAGAAGGGCCTTAGTTAGGGAGGTAATCAATAACCTGATGGTCACTCTGTCTGAGCTCCAGCGTTCTTTCTGTGGAGAGAGGAGAACCTTAAAGAAGGGCAACAAACTGTGCAGCAATCCACCAATCAGGCCTATATGGTTGAGTGACCAGACTGATGCCACTCCCTGCATGGAATTTGCCAAAAGGCATCTGAAGGACCCCCAAACTACAAGAAACAAAATTCTCTGGTCTGATGAGACTTGAACTCTTTGGAGTGAATGCCAGGTGTTACGTTTGGAGAAAAGCAGGCACCGCTCATCACCAGGCTAATACCATCCCTACAGTGAAGCATGGTGGTGGCAGCATCATGCTGTGGTGATGTTTTTCAGCAGCAAGAACCTGAAGACTAGCCAGGATAGAGGGAAAGATCAGTACATCTATGTATAGAGACTTCCTGAATGAAAACCTGCTTCAGAGTGCTCTTGACCTCAGTCTGGGATGACAGTTAATTTTGCTGCAGGGCAATGACCCAAAGCACATCGCCAAAATATCAATGGAGTGGCTTCACAACAACTCGGTGAATGTTCTTGAGTAGCACCAGCCAGAGCCCAGACCTAAATCCTATTGAACATTTTTTGAGAGATCTGAAATTGGCTGTACACAGTCGATTCCAATCCAAGCTCCTGATAAAGCTTGAGAGGTACTGCAAAGAGGAATGGGGAAAAGACCAAAAGACAGGTGTGTCAAGCTTGTGACATCATATTCAAAAAGACTTGAGGCTGTAAATTCTGCCAAAGGTGAATCAACAAGGTATTGAACAAAGGCTGTGAATGCTTGTGTGCATGTAATTTTTCAGGTTTTTATTTCTAATAAATTTGCAACAATTTCAAAAAACATTTTACACATTGTCAAGGGGGAATTGTGTGTAGAATTTTGAGGTAATAAAATAATTTAATCGATTTTAGAATAAGGCTTTAACATAAAAAAAAATGTGGAAAAATTGAAGCGCTATGAATACTTTCCGAATGCACTGTACAATAAATCTATTAAGTTTAAAGAATGTTAAATTACACAAGAAGTATATCTCTAAGATATTGACACATTCCAAACTACAATACCAGCCAAAAGTTTAAAAAGATTGCGATTTGTAGATGAATGGTTTTTATTTAAAAAATATTGTTTAAATTTAAAATAAACCATAAAATAATGTAATTGTGTTCTGTGAGTCAATGATTAAATTAAGTGTAACACTATATGATCTATCTGAAGTCATTCTAATATGTTCATTTGCTGCTATTTTATGATCAATTGTTTATGATTTTTAATCATTTCAAATTAACAATAGCTATTAATAACAATGCTAAGTGTCATCTTTTTTGGTTAAATAGGTTTAACTCTGGTCAGCAGAAGACAATTAATTTAAAAACGTTTTTAAACAAAAATTGTAACTGTTGCAAAATGTTTGACAGGTAGTAATTTTTTTTTTCTTTATTATAGATTATAGATGCTATGCCATTGATGCTAAAGAATTGAAATGGTACCATTGAATGGTGTGTTTTCTCCTGGAAAAAAAGTACAAGTTTCCTATTGTCTTACCTTTTTTTCTGCCGCTTTCTTAGGCTGGGTCCAGTCTTTGCTCTGTTTGTGCCTTTCTACCGCTCCATCCCACGAGTTCATGTGACTCAGCTGCTCGGCCACTTCTCAATCACAAACAAGTCTTTGACTTACATCGTGGGTGCACAGGTGCGTTTAGAAATCAACAGTTTCTTTAACCCTGTAAGATTTCATATTTTACAAGTATATCTCAAAAATGTAATCTGCGTGAGAACTAGTTTGTGTCATTTTAGTGACATCTGTAACACCTCTGTTGATAAGCAAGTTTAGATTAAAAAGGTTTCGTAAGACTAATAAGATGTTTTTTTTTTTCTTCAAACAAATTTGTTGCAAGAGCAGATAAAATGATTGTGGTGTAACAGACTGATGGCACATGAGAAATTAGATAAGAAGTGGTTCTTTGTGGTTTTTTTGCTGTGATGGTGCTTGTGAGCTGTTTAAGATATTAGCGATAGCAGAAGTTGCTGCATTTTTACTGCAAAAACATAAATAGGTTGGGAACATTTGACCTTTCAATGAAATTGTCAGTTTTTCAGTATTTACAAAAATATTTATAAACATTTCTATATAAAACTAACAAATGTAATTTATTTATCCAATAATGCATTATGGTTTTATTTGTTTTATTCTTGCATCAATTAACCTTTCTTTGTGTTGGGCACTTGCAGTTAAGTTTGATGGTAATTTAGCTGCGCTGGTTTAAGATGTTTCAGTTGTGTTTTGTAGATGTGAAAGTGCTTTAAATAGTTCTGAATTTCTTTTGTTTTCTGCTGTCATGTCATCAGCTCTTGACCTCAAGTGCCTACATGTGGGTTGTTGCTTGTAGTGGACTGGTAAGTATAACATTTCTCTGCTGCCTTGTTTTCTGACTCAACCTTAATTGATTACATATCAATTATAAGTAATTACATATACTGTAGTGTAGGGTTGTCAATGTTGAAACAGTGGTAAAGAAGCAGTCAGCGAGTGGAGTTGTTAAATGAATGAGCAACTTTGGCTTTGTTTTATATATCCAAGCTAACAGCATACCTTTACCTTTTATACAACAAAAAATAATAATAATTAACTTAAAAAGCCTGTGGAATCGTGATTGACAGTTTCTCAAAGCAGACGTCGGAGCTTCGAGAGGAGATTGCAGCGTTATTATTCGATTTCTGTGTTATTTTACCATCATAAAATGAGTTGGTTAGCAGTAAACTATACTTTCTGACATACAGGATCTGATGGATCACTTTTTATTCGGGAAAGTCTGAGCTTTATCGGGCTTTATTAGTTTGCTGATACATGCCTGGCCATGAAGAAGAAAATACAGGTGATTGCTATCTAGCAGTAATTCTCTTTATGGCTCTGAAATAATAACTAGGAAGACAAAACTAGTGTTAGCCGACACCTACATTGATCTCCTGTAAGGTAAGGTAATGTATAAATCCTTATTATATATATATATATATATATATATATATATATATATATATATATATATATATATATATATATATATAAATAGGATATAAATATAAATGATTTATCATTTATTTATCATTTATATTTATATTTTGTATATCCTTATTATATATATATATATATATATATATATATATATATATATATATATATATATATATATATATATATAGGATATAAATATAAATGATTAAAATATTACAAAACATATTAATTTCTAGCCTACATGAAGATTTAAAAACCCCTGCCTTACTTTCTTCATCTCAGGAGGCTTTTTCAGTTCATTCAATTAGCTTTTATAATGTTATTATTATTAGCAGTATTATTTATTATATCCATATTTATATTTGTTTAATTAAAAACAAGCTTAGATTTGTCCACCTGTCAAATTTTAGACCATATGGGGCATGGCAGGTCTATTTGGAAATAATAAGTATTTTGACCACACTTTGCTTTTATTGTTCATTTATTCGTTTACTAGAAATTAGAACTAAATTTAGAAATAGTTTTGAAACAAATCTTAGTGCTTAACAAACGAAATTAATTATTTATAGGCTAATCGATGTCTGTGCCGTAAGGTTTTTCCTATCCACTAGAGCTAAAGCGAAAGTGAATTTACTTTGCGTCAATATATATAAGATATTATATCTTTTTTATATGTACTGTAAAGATATTTGCGTATTGCTCTGCATTTAGTGTGAGGTGTTTAAGCCAGGCGCACTTTGCGCCAGACAATAGACCGACTTTGTTCTGGTCTAAAGAACAGACTATTTACAGTTGCTCAAAATACTGCCAAAACACGCCTGCTTTTTTAGACCAGAACGCCTATGGGCGCACATTTGAGCGCAAATGCATTTGCTATTTAAACAGTGTGGCGCAACACCTCAAAATGACCCTTGAGCCGAGCTAAAAGTACCAAAAGACTATTGCGCCGCGCCTTGCGCCACATTGCGCCGGTTGTATGATAGGGCCCTTAGTAATATATTCTGTTTATTACTGTTAATTTGTCAAGTTACATTTCGTCACATTGATTGTGTATGTTTTAAATACAATATTACTCCCATCTATGGTAACAACTCTATTGTCACCAATCACTCTCTTTCAGATCGCAGGCATGTTGTATTACAGTAATAAGTTGGCGGTCCAGAAGTTCTTGCGTGTGCCTGGATGGGCAGCTAGATGTGGTTCAGTGATTCTGGAGCCAATCTTCTCCGATTCTGAGCCCACGGCAGAGGCCCCGCTGGGGATGGGGGCTACTTTGGATATCCAGAGACAGCAGAGGATGGATATGCTGGATCAGCAACTGCTCCTTTCTCAGCTGGCACACTTGAGAAGAAATGCACAGCAACAGCAGGCTCAGGTACTTCTATTGTTTTTTTATTGAATTTGCTGAATTTTCAGGGTGTGCTGAGGCCTCATCGGGTCTTCCTCTTCACCAGTAGCCAGAGCAGTTTGACCTGTTGAATAACTTGGTCCTAAACAGACTAAGATTGGGTACCGAAACCTGTTGACAGGTGACATTAGGTGTTTGTTCTTGTTGCTTAGGGAACGGACGCATGCAACGTACGCAGTACAGCGCATTCGATGAGTGAGAGCGACTCTCTTCAGATCAACACATGATCAAGTTAATCCAATTTGCCTAAACTGAGTGTTCTAAGTTGTATTTTACAAGCAAGGATTCTGACACAGCAATGTGAAGCAGATGCTTTACAAAAGTTGTGTGTAAGGGGGAAACATGTCAAACTTAATGACACGTTTGAGGGCGCAGGGTATCAACTTAAAGGCAGAGGAATGCACTTTCTCTGAAAGCTTGCGACATCATCTGGCACTTTCAATGTGTACAAACATGGACACGAATGCTCCTATTTGAATATGATTAGAACAATACTCTGAATAAAAGTCTAGACTGCCATGTAAACAGTGATTTTTGATTACCTTAAAGGACCACATACATTTGCGTCGCCAAATGTTGAGGATTTTTCTTTCCATTCAACATGCTGTATCAAATTTCATTAAAAGAGCACTCTTCCACCAGTCCTTACTTAATGCTCGCATCAAATACCTGTTTGTCATGGGGGCATGAATGAAATGTTCCTGAATGAAAGTAAAACTGCAGTTAAAGTCGAAAAACTAACAGTGAAACACCTGAAATTACATTAAACTGGAGGAATCGTGGATAGCGTGGTGACACAATGACGTTAATTGATCTATGTACCATAACATGTAAGACAGGATCATGAAAGGAACATTTAAAAAGCAACTCATGTAAACACCTTGATCATATTATTGTCTTATTCAGATTAAGGCAAATCATTAGATTACTGATAACCATGTAAACATAATCACAAGCTGCAACCCTAGGAAAAAAAAGGAGTTCAGTATTTTGATGACAACCTTTCCACAGGGTAGTAGTAAGCTAATGTAATTTCATAATGCAAATCCTTAATTCATGCCAACCAACAAATGATCAAAAGAAATATATTCATGTAATTAAAATATATAAAATATTAATTAATGTTTACTTTAAACTTTAATTATATTGTTATATTAAAATATAAATTTTTAAAAAGATTTTGTCAAATAAAAGGTTTATCTAGAGTCATCCACCATAATTTTGTGGCTCAAAAGTATCGCTTCAGGCACCGTTTTGGCACTGGAACCATTTTAAAAGTATCGATTTAGGATCCGTATTGAAAAAACCCCAAACGCTACCCAACCCTAAACAGACCAGCTGGGGTTGAGGAGTGGTCATAAACAAAGGTAGAGAGGATTAGCTATACCACTCAGGTTTCGAGTTTTAATTTTTTTTATCAGTTACCATTTAAATTGACTATTAGTTGAAAAATCTAAATTTTTGTGTTCTTTTGACATTAGAGATCATTGTGCTACAAAAACTTTTGCAATTTAAAAATGCTTTCTGACATCAGTCTACCTAAAAGGCATTTTGTGGAATTTGCCACAATACCCTGCCTTTCTATGAAAGTCAATTCTTGCTTCCGTAGTATACTCTGAAATCAAGTTTCTGCAAAAATACAATATTTGCTTTAGTTTCCTTCTGATCCTAACATTAGGAAAGCATAGGTTAACTTTTTCCCACAAGTTCCACAATGTGTCAGTTCAAATCTAGTCCTGAACAAGGCACAATTTGGTTCTACATTGAGTTCTGGAAGGTGGGGAGGGCGAGAGACACAACTTCCACTACTGATGCACCCAGGGGCTGTGGGGTTCTAGACAGAAATGCATGCAGTTGTGTTGATATGAACATTGACAATCATAAGGCAAACTTATGTGTCAGCCCAGGAGGTTTAGAGCAACTGCCCTCATCTCAGCAAGCTTAGCTTTCTTCAACACACCTGCCTGTAAGTTTCTAGTATACCTAGAAAATGCTTGATTAGCTGGTTTAAGTGTGTCTAATTGGAGTTGTAACTAAACTCTGCAGGACACCAACCCTCCAGGACTAAGTGTGGGCACCCCTGTTTTAAACATTTAAAATGAATCATATATATTTGGCTCAAAACACACTTTCAGACACAAGAATGTGTGATCTTGTACAAATTATGTATTATTTAGGATTGTTCACTAAAGACAACAAAGTCTCAACTTGAAAATTCAGTTATTTTTTAAATGAGAGAAGCAGTAATGTCTTTGAAGCTGTGTGACAGGTGACTGGTGTGACAGATGACCGAAGTTGTGTCAGTTCAAGCGTCACATCAACTCATCATCTCTTACTGATGTGTATCATGTCTTGATCAGTGTTTCAACTGTGGAAACAGCTTGTGAACAATGTCACAGCGTGTTTCAATATATCATATTCAACTTGATGATACAAGCTTAAATGGAGTCGCCATTTAATGTAGATCTTTTAATATTAGTGTAATAATGTTTGTAAATTTTACATTAATGTTGGTGAAAAAACTTTTACAAATAATTGTTTTATTTATTTTTTATTATTGTTTTAGACTGATAAACTAAGCAATGTGACAAGACCTTGTCTTGTTGTGAGAATCATCATCTCTTGTTTAGTTGTATTTGTTATCAGTATTGTGTAATAACTACACCACTATCTCATCGATACTAAGTATCTACACTAGCATGTCAACCACTGTACATCTTAAAGTCACCTGAAAGTAGTATTTTAACTCATTGTCAAACATGTCAGTACTTTAAATTTCACCATACAAAGTATTTTCTGGCGAGGGCTTGTTCACATGTTTCATAGTGAAGATTAGAAACTGCTGTTTGTGGGGAAATCATTGATGGACACACTGTATGTTTCAAAAGATACATTTGCTTTATCAGAAATGTTGAAATCTTTCTGCGATGAGTTAACTAGCTTGGTTTCCATGTTTCTGTCACTCATATATAGCAAGATAGAACGTGATATTACTTATTTTTCTTTTTTTTTTTTTACATAGTTTTTCCCTTGTTTATTTTGAATTTGGGGAAATTAATGGTTTCCAGCGAACCAACAGACAGCCACAGTTTTTTTTTATCACAGAAGCCTGATAAGAACAAATTATGTTGTCCTTCATCAAAATGAAATGGAAAATATATTCTTTAAAATTGTATAGGTACTTACCAAAAAACATACACGGTACTTTTGAAATGTACATTTAGCTGTGAGCTAGACAGAGTTTGCTAGTGATGTAAATGTCCTGTTGGAGAATAGTGAAAATGATTGTTTTTGAATGGACCTTGGCAGGTCACTTCTGTTACAAAATCTCTATTATGGAAATACAAAGTAAGATGTGCTGTCTTTATTCACACAATGGTAATTTGCAAAAAGTTTAGAAACTGGTCATAAAAAATTACTGTACCAAAAGGTAGATTGTGCTAACTTTAATTTAAAATTAAGATTAATAACCCCTTGTTTAACAGTAGGTTGGTGCCTGTGTTTATCTCAACAAACTTCTTGCTTCAATATAATTTGAAGATGACAAGGAGGTCAAGGAGATTTTTTTTTAAAGCTTATTTCTATAGTAAAAAGGTTAAAAATACCTAATAATTAAAAAAATGAGGAGTGAAAAAATAAGGATATGTTGCATTTTATAATTTAACTAATTTAACTGGCCAAACGTAAAAGGTGGTAACCCCTATTGATAACCATAAATGAAACAAAATAATTCTACATTTATTTGAGCTCCGCTTAATACTCAACAGATCCTTTACATGTAAAAGTAATCTACAGTTATCATTAATGGACATGTTTGATACATTTAGTTTTGTCATGGACAACAACTTGTTGACTTGTGATATTATATTGTGGCTATGAGATCATTTTTCTTGTGGGTATGACTTCTTGCGTTGAGTAAATGGTTGTTATTCTTAAGTTTGAAATTTGATGTTGTAACAAGTCAAATCATACAGGTCTTCCATGCTTCTTGATAGTACCAGGGTTTCAGAAGCATGAACTCAAGGCCTAGAAAATACTTAGAAACAGAAAGATGCTTGAAAATGCTTGAATTAACTTTTGAAATAAAATTTCTTTTGTATGGTGCTATTTTAAAACTTGTGCTGAGAGCCTTATTGAACATTATATTGCAAAAGGTCGTAGGACATTTGCTTTTACATGCAAAGCTTTTCTGGGAAGGATTTCCACAAGGTTTAGGAGTGTGTTCAAGCGATTTTTTTTTTTTTTAACCATTTTTAAAAGCACATTTGTAAAGTCAGTCACTGATGTTTTGAGGTGAAAGCATGGCTTGATGTACTCAAATCTATGCTCTGATTCCTACCAAAGCTGTTCTATTGTGTTGAGGTCTGGACTTTGTCCAGGCCAGTCAAGTTCCTCCACACCAAACTTTCATCCATGTCTTTATAGATATATGTTGGTCCACTGGTGCGCAGGCATGTTGGAACAGAAAGGGGCCATCTCCAAATTGCTCTCACAAAGTTGGGAGCATGAAATTGTCCAGAATATCTTGGTATGCTAAAGCATTAAAAGTCCTTTTTATCTTTTTCACCTGAAAAACAAGTGCGCACTGTAATCCGCCCTCCATAAAACTTCACTCTGTACAATCCAGTCGTGTGTATCATTTTCCTGCCAATTATCAGATCCAGACTCGTCCACAATATTGCCAGAGGAGCATGAAGCATGCAGCCTCTGAAACAACACACCACTATAGCATATTTATGTATAGATTTACGCATGATGCTTAAAGCACTTTTGCTACAGTTGACATGACAAATACACATTTAGCTTATGAAGAAAACAGAGACTTGAAGAACTTATCTATAATTAAAGTCATGTATTTATTTGTTGTCATATTTTATTTGTCTCCTTCCTTTGCCTTTGTTTATAATGGACTATTTACTAAATGTCTATTAGACATCAGTTTTACACATAAAGTATGTTTGTAAAGATTTTTACTATTTACAACTTTCATTCAGCAGATTTTTATAGATGTTTATCAAACTTTTGAACAGCAGATATTTTCCAATAGTTAAATATTTAGCAATAAATATTTCATAATAGCAAAAAACGTATATGCATATACTGTAAGTACATCTATGAATATATTTACTAATGGCAAAGATGATTTGAAGTTCCCATTAAAACCTGTGTTGAACCTGTGTAGACCGGTTGTTTTCTGAGAATAACATACCTTGGAATATCATGATTGATCCATCAGAATCAATTTATCCAGAGAGCGATAATCTGTGATAACAACCGGCTAGATGTACATCACCCTTACTTAATGGGAATGGTATTAAGCTTAATTATATTGGTCATAATGTCATCCAGATAGCATTCAAATTATTAAATTCTGTGTAATATTAAGGAAATGTAAGAACGTTTTTGCATTTAACTTACTTTAGAAAATAGGAATGGTTCATTTTAATCCAATTGTGACTTTAATATTGATGTTGAATTGCCTTCACTGATTGCTGTCCACAACAGACTGGGCTCCTGAACTGGAACAGATTCTTCCCCACTCTGAGGCACAGAGGACAAAACCGGCCCCATGAGGGGCCACAGCAGCCCTCCTATACTCAACCAACAGAGAACCCAGCAGTGACAGAGGAACAGGTGAGATCATGTGACATGCATTTTAAGTGTAGATTTATTTGGCCATTTTATTTTTTAAAAGCTTTTTCGTCAGTACGATTTCTTTGGCCTCGTGGGCAATTTTGAGGGGTAATTATAAGTACTGTGAGTTTTGTAATCAGATTACTTTTTCCAAGTAACTAGTAAAGTAGCTCATTACTGTTTCATTTCCTAGAAAATGTCAATAATTGTTTTCAAAGTAATGGCTAGTAATGGCTGTTACTTTGATTTCTCATTTATTGGCTGACAGTTCTCCTGTCCCTTTTATTGACAGAAATGGGAAAATAGAATATTTTGAGAGAGCAGATATGTTGATTCATGATATTCAGTATAGTTCTAGTATAAATTTGAACACTTGTACATTTGAAAAAGTAACGTACTGTAACATCTACTTTGCATCAAATATAACCAAGCGACAGATTTAGTTCTTTTTTAAAGTAGAGTTGTAGAGTATTACTTTTAAAAAGTGACTTTTTCATCACTGCTTATTGGTATATTAAAAATGAATTCTGCTAAATACTAAAAATGAATTCATTTTATGCTGCTATCACCAGGTTGCAAGATTAATGGAGATGGGTTTCTCAAGGATGGATGCCCAAGAAGCACTCAGAGCATCTAATAATGACATTAACATCGCAACAAACTTCTTGCTTCAGCACTAAGACAAAATAAATTGAAGATGACATGGAAGTCAAGGAGAATGACTTTTTTAACTTATTTCTATAAAATCACTAAGTTGAAAATACTTAAGAACTCTACTTTGGTGTCATCACTACACTAACTGGAATGCACTGGGACACAACTTACAGGAGCTGATGATATCACGTCCTGTCTGGCTGCCTCTTGACCAGGAAGTGTAGCACTCCTGCTGCAGTGTTTTCAGTACTATTAGTAGTTGACTTGTACGCACTGGATAGAGTCAACCTGGTGGACAACATACTTTGTGTCTCAGGGCTTGTGCCATTTGTCAATGTCCTTGAACTTACTTCTAATTAAGCATACTATAATCTCTGCATAAATTATTAGTTTATTAATTATTATATTGAAAATTATTATATTAAACCACATGTTGTTTTGCTTTATATAAGCTAAGTAGATTAAGTCTTAGTTTGCCCAAAATAATTGACTTGCCCTCCTTGTTGTTCCAAAACTGTGGTGTTTTTGGTCTTCCATGGAACACAAATAAGATGTTTAGCAGAATGCCTTGCCTGCTGGTTTCATATAGAGTTAAAAAGAATAAGCTTTTTTGTGTGTTTATTTAAGTAGCATCTCAAAGTAAAAATATGAAAAGTATAAATTTAAAAGATACACACAAATATACATGCAATAAAACTAGTCCAAACAAAAAACAAGATACGTTTAAGTTAAATCACATAAAAGCTATATATATATATATATATATATATATATATATATATATATATATATATATATATATATATATATATATGGTAACGAAGGTATACTGAGACCAGCTATTAAGCTCCAAAAAAGCACTATATATTTTGGTAACTTTAGATGAGGAGAAGAATGATATTTAATTCAATTCGTCTTTATTTCAGTAGTGCTTTTATAATGTTTGTTGTGCCAAAGCAGCTTAACATAGATGAAGGAAAGAGAATAAACAGACATAACATTTCTGATCGTGGAACATTTCAGAAAATCAGGCCAGCAGGAGAGTAGTGATGGATTGCTGCTGTAGTTCTAGTTAAATTAAAACTGATTCAGTTCAGTATAGTAAAAGGCTGATCCACAAAAGAGTAGCTCTATCGAAGCACAGCTCTAACAGTATATAAGCCAGAGTTTGCCAAAAATCAGTCCCTCTGTCATCCATGTTTCAAATATTCCAATTTAGTATACCCAAAGTATACTTTTTATTTATTTGGTTTTGCTATTGTGTGTGTAGCAGAAGGTAAATGAAGACATTTTGGTCTGTTTTTCACACACAAAAAAAATCTCATATGACTTTAGAATACCAGAAATTTAGCACACTCTCAAAAAAATGATGTTTGTTATTTGTTTAAACTACTTATTTAAAACAAGCTGAGACAACACTATTCTTGAAGGTTTTTTGGGACAACTTAATTGTATTGTGTTCAATCCACTTATTTTTGTAAACATTTAAAAGTTAATTAATTTCCTCCATTTTGTCTCTATACAAATCAATTTTGTGGAATCCATCATTTTTTACAACACTTTTTTTGTTTGTTTGTATTTATTTTGACATGTTAACATTTTGTTTGTGTGAAAAACATTTGTTTTTGTGAAAAGTGCAGCCAAAACATTCTTTAAATGATCTCATTCTCACCATTGTTGTGTTTATTGAAGAAGTGATGTGGTTTTGGATTGCATGAGGGTAAATGATAGATTTATAATTAAATAATTTTTGTGCAAATTATTTATTTTCTGTTAACTCTTAAAGGGCTATTAGTATGGCAATGTATTTAACGTACACCTGGACTACTGTAAGTGTCATCTTAGAGATATATCTCTCTCACTGGCCATTTAGTCAGAATCAAGACTTCTCAAAGTTTGGGAAACCACCACAAAGTGTGTATCAGATGACATGATATGTAATGTTATCTTAAAGCCTCAGATGTTTTTAATCATAAATATTATTTAAGCAGAAACAAAATGTGTCATTGTGGTTATGGTGATGAAAAGTGTCATGACTTATAGTGGCGTGTTAAAAAGAAACAAGTGGAACTTCCATGCTGTAGTAGTCTGGTTAAAAGTGTGTCAATATGATGCTTTTCTGCACAGTGAATATGAATAATATTCAGAGCATCTGTCAATGTGTTTATCTGAGAGTAGGATGAAGCTTTTTAACAGCTGATTCCAAAAATATGAGGTAAATATTGTTTGAAATGATTAATTAAAGGGATGCCAACACTGATACCCATTACCAGTGTCCAAATTATGTCTTTAAAGAACCATATAAAAAATACTTATTTATGACATTTGGATGTTTGATGAAAACAGGACTGTTTATGTGAATGTTTATGTTTATGCTACATTACAAAAAAAACTTGCTACTTTAAATCGAGTTGATTCAACTGAAATGTTCTAGTCATCTCAACTTAAATTAGTCAAACTGAATAAATAATTAAGTTAAACGTATTAAAATAATTTAAGGTAACATAAACATGGTTGTCATGACTTTTTGACATGTTTTTGTACAGTGTAAAGTGTTTGATTTGATTTAAAAAAAAAAGTTTTTGCTCCACTTTATATATTAATGGTTTAGCTTTGCCAGTGGTTCAACCAAATCACTGTTTAACACTTCATTGTTTAACACTCACTGTGGTCAAATAGTAGGTCTATGAAATGATTACACTTGCTGTTATACTTTAAGATGATATTTTAACTAGATTTTAAATGTTATAAGCACATTAGACTACTACAATTTCCCCTGAACATCCTTAAGGCTACCTCTATATTTTGTGTGCTAAAGTCAAACCTTGTGTCACAAAATATAACTTTATATAGAAGCTTAACCATTTTGTTTAATGTTGTTTAATGGATTAATGTTGATCCTGGATCAGCATTGCTGTTTAAAAATTACGAGTTAAATAAACCAACACAAGTTAACCGGACAAAATCTTTTTTTTTTTTTTTTTAACCAATTATTCTGGAATGACCACACAAATAAACCGTGGATTTAACTTTTTACATTTGTTATAACATCTGACAGCTATAGTACTCTATATCTTAGTATTTTTTGTTCAGGGGAACACAAATTTTCCTATGGTTAGGCCTTGGGCCATATAAATAAAATAAAATTAGTATGTATTGCATTGGACATACACTTGCAATCCATAGTGAATGTATTTAAAAAAAACCTGAACACCCTATTATTTTATACTTTGGCAGGTAGGCTGTATACATATGTTGATTCTTCAAGGTAGGCCTACTAAATGTGTGTGAATTATGTATATAATATAAGAATGCAGACTGGGACAGAATTTAAAGAGCCCATATTATGGGTTTTTGAAAATTTCCCTCCATGTAGTGTGTAACACAGCTCTAAGTGAAGTGAAGTATCCAGCTAAGGCTTAAATCTGTTAGTGTACAGTGTTTAAAACTGTTGATTCATCTATAAAAGAGTCGACTCATAGTGCTTCAAACGAGTCGCCTTGATACCGATTCATTAGGTGTTTCGCCATGACGTACGAACGAAACCAAGTTATTCACGTGCACGCGCAAAACCGGGAGATTTCAAACCTGAGGCCCCGCCCTCTGACGCAGAAACCCAGACACACACACACACACACACACACACACACACCCACACCCACAAACACACAAACAAACATGCCGGTCGATTGAAGTCACACTGCAGATGGATATATTGAGTCTCTACCCAAAGATGAAACCTCAGCATTATAGCCAAGCAGTTGGAAACTACTGGAAACTTCTGGAAACTACATGCTACAAAGAATACTTCATCAGCGTTTGTTAAAGGAAGGATCAGTAAAGAGTAACTTACTGATGGACGTCAGGATGGATTTTTCTTCCTCCATTTCTCAAATGTAAGTACGTGCGATTAAAGTTGCCTCGTTGACTCTAGCTTGCAAATGTATTTAGTTGTGATTTGTTACTTGTAACCGCGTGTACTGTATCAGGTTAACTCGCTATATTCTCTTATCGCGTGCAAAGTCACGTTAAAAACGCGACGCGTGCTGCTTTGTTAACGGAGCTTCGTGGACGAGGAGTAGTGTCTGTGTCTGTGTGTGCGCGCGCTGTCGTCCGGAGGTGTGTGTGTGTGTGTGCGCGCGCGCGTTGTCGTCCGGAGCAGGGTTAAGTGCGTGTGTGTGTGTGTGTGCAATATGTGTGTGTGTGTGTCTGTGAAAAGAGCAGAGTGAGAAGCTAGGAGATCTCCTCAACTGTTTTTGGAGTTTTTGCTCAATAAAATAGTTAGTCGTCTGTATTTTCAAGTCCATAGTCTGTATTTACATTGACCCACTGGCAGCTAAAATCCACGCCTACACTATCGAGCGTGTATGCACTGTGATTACTTTTATATTGCTGATTAGCTGTTTGGCATTTCACTCTGACTGAAGGCAGTCGACCAATCGCAACAGACTGTCATTGGTCCAATCAACGCAGATTAGCTTCGCGCTAGGGAGGGGTTTGGGAACAAATGAATCACTGGACGATTCATACAGGAGTCGCTGGGATAATTAGGTAAAAATAAATGCAGATTATAAGACCACGAAAGTGTTTTTTGACCTTGCATGCATATTAAACTGTTGTTGGAGACCCTTACAACCAAGATATGACCCTATTTCATGTATAATATGGGCTCTTTAAGACTGGGAAACCCCACACCTACCCAGGCCATCCTTTGTTAAATGAACTATTACTGATTTGTCTAATAAAACAGTATGAAGAGTTTCACTCTTTAATGTATGTTAGTCAGTTCCTATTGTTTCTATATTTCTATATATGTAATTTCTATATTTTGGTCTTTGCTGTGGATAGTAGTGAAAAAAGCAATGTAGATCCTTAGATAGGGGGCCTGGGGCTCAGCAAAAAAAGTAACTCTTTTCTATCTCCCCATTTTCCCAATTTTTTTCTGTCTTTCCCTTCCATAAGTCACATACACTTAGTAAAATAAGAAAATTAACTCAAATCAAAATTGAAAAAATTGTCTCAATTATTCTTCATGGACCAGCAACCTTTTTGTTGTGAGTCTTCAGTGCTCACTTGCTGGCAACATCCTTGCTCTTTTTTCATTGTAATTATAATGGTTGCCTGCAGCACTCGTTGAATGTGCAGAAGCTCTTTACTTTCTCCTTTCACCTCTTACATCTACTGTATATTCCTCTTTTAAAACCTTTTTTTCTAGCTCCCCCTACTGGTCACTTCACTACATTCCTTCTTTTCATCTTTCTCAAGACCATCAACACACAACTAATATTATACTTGTGGCTGATTAAATCCTAGTAAATCTAGTCCCATTTAGACACCATCCAAATCAGAATTCATGACAGTGCCATGCCAGTTAATTTTTGATGGGTGTGAGACTACATGAGCTCCAACATCTCTGCTGGATACACTTTTTCAAACTGCACTCTGCTGCTATTTTCTCTAACTCACGAGGTGTAAAAGTTTGCAAGACAGCATGCTTTGCAACACAATAAGCTCATCCTCGCTTTCTGCAATTGTGTGATGGAATTATGATGGAAATTGGTACTGGCATGGCTGTGAGTATAACTCATTCATTTATTT